CCCCGACTTGGGTGAGAGGGAGAAGGTGAAGTTGACGTTAAAGGCCGTTTCTGTTCTGCACCTTGGGTCATCCTGCCCTTCTTCATACAGGAATAGGGTTACTGGGTCTTGAGTGAACTTCCCTTCCGTTTCCTTCCGGGTTCCCTTTGTGAGCACAGTTTGGCAAGGGACAATAGGCTGGCAGCCGGCGGTTACTGCGATGCAGTTGGCGGCGTAGTTGCCTGATGTGCACTCGCAGAGAGGGCTGGAGAGGTAGTTGTAGGAGATGTCAGCGTATACTTGCTTTGGCTTCACCACGCCAAGTTGGACACCTAGCACCAGTTGACCTCTGTCCATGATTATGCGTCATCATTTCAGGCATTGTGCGACCAAATCACTGACCTATCAAAAGCTGAGAAAAATAACCGGTTCATCATTGGGCTCAAATCCGATGTTTGCTACGAAGTGAAAATGCGACGCCCATTGACTTTCCAAGAGGCCGTGGTGATCGCCAACCTGTACGACGCCGATAAAAAATATGCGAGATTGGGTTCCCGGGAGGGAAATATTTTTGTGGTCAGGATCAATGGCCCTCGATCAATGGCATAGTGGCGAACGACGAGGATCGCAAAAAGAGACAGTGTTTTCACTGCCACCAGCCGGATCACCGATATGCCGACTGCCCTGACCAGAAGCAGAGGAAAAACAATGATGGGAATAAGCCAGGAAAAGATTCCCGTCAGTAGCAAATGGCCCCCCTACTAATACGCCTGCATCTCCCAAGAAACAACATCTCCACCAGGTAGGGGTTCCGGTACATGCTATCGATCGCAATCGGACGAATAGCAGGGATGAACCTGTGGATCACCCTATGTAGGTAGAAGGAAGGGTTAACGAGAAAAAAAAAATAAAAAAAAAATCATTGACGGTGGTGCGAGCCACTGCCTGATTTGCCAATCGACGGGTAAAAACTTAAACTTACCATTGGAGCGGTGTCTCCCCGAGATCGATGCCCGATTGGTCGACGGCACCCTGCTGGCGATACGCGATCGCGTGAGAACTACTCACATGAAGTGTGGTGACAATTTCGGTTTCAGCGCACCGATGCAGGCGACAACACTCAATGGCTACGATGTGCTGCTGGGACGAGATTGGCTTCGGCGACACAATCCGCAGATCGATTGGGCGACAGGCGTGTGCACAGTAAAGTGTGCGAATGGCTGGCAGGAACTTCCGAGCTGGTGAGGCATAGAACCGATAACGATATGCATCCGAGCAGGTCCACACACTGTGGAGGGGGAGGAGAAAAGGGGGTGGGAGGAGGAGGGGAGGAAGAGAGTGCAGGGAGACATAAGTTTGGGCGCTGGTGTCTCTGTGGCGCACGTACGTGGCCTGAGCCATGGCGCTGACCCAGGGGGTGTCCAGTGTTGAGAGGAGGTTCACGCACTGAGGGGGGAGGAGGAAAGTGGGTGGAGTGCACGGATATATATGAGTAAGAGCGCTGGTGTCACTACACGCTGCTCGTACACGGTCTGAGCTCTGGGCCATGGCGCTGACTTGCAGAGTGTCGCACTGTGGGTGGGGTGGAGAGGGGGGAGGGGGGCGGAGGAGGGGGGAAGGGGGGGTGAGTGCATGTGTGTACGTGAACAAATGTGTTAATGCGGGTGTTTGTGTGTGTGTGTGTGTGTGTGTGTGTGTGTGTGTGTAAGAGCGCAAACATGTGAGTGTGCATGCATGCATTCATACATGTGTGCCAAGAAACTCAAGACTCCCGACCAAGGCACGCACCTGCTGCCATGGCTGTAGCGACGCACCCGCTGCCATGGATGTAGCAACACACCCGCTGCCATGGCTGTAGCGACACACCTGCTGCCAGGGTTGGGGCGATAGGCGGACATCGGGAGCTGCTGCTTCCACGGCTGCACATGCCTCTGCCAGGGTGTGGCACCCTGCAAACGTTAGAAAGCTGGTGGAGAGGGAGTGTTTACAGGGGGGCAGGGAGGGAGGGAGGAGAGGGGAGGAGGGGAGGGAAAGGAGGGGAGAGGGGGGGGGGGGAGTTGGTCGGTGGGTTTGAGGGGAGTGTGGCAGCAGGTGCGGTAGAGGAGGGGGGGTTGGAATTTTGAAAAGAGCTTGGGTACAGGGGTGGTAGCTAGGCACGCGCACGCTTGCACACACACACACACGCACATACACACACACACGCACACACACGCACACACACACGCACACACATGCACACACACACACACATACACACACACACACATACACACACACACATACACACACACACACCCACCCACACATACACACACACACCCACCCACCCACGCACACACACACTCCATTTCCTCCAGCAGCACAACAGCGTCATAGCACCACTTGCGCACATAGGCCTCCAGAATCAAGCGTGTGTGCGCAGACACACATGCACGCACACGCACACACATACCATTACCTACAGCAGCACAACAGCGTCGTAGCCCCACATGCGCACATAGGCCTTTTAAATCCGCCTCCTTAGAGAGAGCCCCACCCAGGCCCATGCTCTCTGTCACCCCTTTTTGCCACACCGCCGCCTCATCCTCATCATCGTCTCCCGCCTCATCATCCCCTCCTTCCTCCTCCTCCTCGTCTCCCTCGTCATCCTCCTCCTCCTCCTCCTCCCCCTCTACTCCCCTTCTCCATGCCACACCCGCCCTCCCACTCTCCTGCTCATCCTTCCCCTTCCTCCCCGCCTCTGCACCCTCCTCCTCCCTGCCTCCCTGCCTCTCCACCCTCACCTCCGTCTCCTCCCCCTCCTCCTCGTCCTCCTCTGCCCTCCAACCCCATCTATCATCCTTCCCGAATTCCAAAGTGCCCTCTATCGTTTGTGCTCTCCCCGACGTACCCTTAACAAGCTCCTCCTGTTGTACCCCTGAGCCTGTGGCTGGAGTCGGAACAGCCAAGGGAGATGACCGACGAGAAGGAGGGAAAATGGAACAAAAAGCACCCAACGAGGAACGTTAAAGTGACGAGAAGACCAACTCATAGGGGAGAGGAAGGGGAGAGGGGGGGTGGGGACAGGGAGAGGAAGGGGGGAGGGGGGGCGGGGACAGGGAGAGGAAGGGGGGAGGGGGGGCGGGGACAGGGAGTGGAAGTGGAGTAGTAGAGAGGAAGACGTAGCAGAGGATTCCAAGCCCCTTGTCTGCTATTGCCGCGAGAGCAACGCAGGAATAGCTGGACTAGCTGGACTATTTGCTGGCCAAAGGGTTCGTTTGACCGATCACATCCCCATTCGACGCCCCAATCCTGTTCAAACCCAAGAAACATGGGGGCCTCCGAATGTGCATTGATTATCGCGCCCTAAATTGGGTTACGATAAAATCTCGCTACTTGATCCCACGCCCGGACGACCTTACTGACCAGCTGCGAGGCACCCGCTATTTCTCGAAGATCGACCTTCGCGGTGGTTACTACCAGATTCGCGTCTTCGCTGACGATTGCCACAAGACCGCGTTTTGTACTCGCTACTGGAGTTACGAATACACTGTCATGCCGTTCGGGTTAACGAATGCCCCCTTGACGTTCCACCTGACGATGAACGGGGTATTCTGGGATCTACTCGACAACACGACGCGGGAGCAGCACTTAAAGGAACTGAAAGCATTTTTCAGCGCCTGCAGCTGTCTTGTCTCATCCTCTGCACTCCTCCACCTTCCATCCTCTCCTTGTCAGCGGTAGTCAGCTGATGCAGCCGTGGTGATGGCGGACTCTCTGCTCCGCCTGGACCCGGAGGGTCGGGCCGTTGAGTTTGAGGTGTGGCTCATTGACCTCCGCCGCCAGCTGACCAGGCAGTGCCAGGACGGCAACTCCCTGGCCGTCCATGTCGACGGTAAGCTCCCTCGCCCCGCCCCGCCTACTGCCCTCCCTGACGCCCCCACGTCTGCTGAGCGTGAGGCCCTTGTCGCTGCTGAGCTTGCCTGCACTGTCTGGGATTCACGCGACGCCGTTGCACAACTTGCCATTAGTCACGCCCTCCCCATGTCCAAGCATCCCCGCTTTACCGCTGTAGCAAACGCTAAGGAATACTTAGATGTCGTTATCGCGCGCTATTCCACCCCCGCCTCAGCCTCTGCTGGACGCCTGATCTTCCCCATGCTGTTCCCTGACCTTGCATCTTTCCCCACTGTCGCTGACCTTGCCAGTCACCTCCGCGCTCTGGAGAGTAGCTATTGCGCCACTAGCACTGAGGCACAGCTCACTGCCATTCCGCCGCCGCTTTGCACTACCCTTTACCTCATTGCCACGCGCCTGCCTCACCGCCTAGCCACTGCCCGCGACCACTACCTTAGTGCTGTGCTCCCTCCCAATGCACATACTCTAACGTTTCTACCGCTGTTGCTGAGACAGCCCCTACTGCTGAGACTGCTGCCGCGGCCTCAGCGTAGCAGCGTCAGGGTAGGGGCCGTCACCCCAAGGGGGGGCGTGGCAGAGGGAAGGGTGGTGGGGGCGGGGACGATGGTGCAGACGAGGGGACCGGGGCTGGTGCCCCGGAGCAGCAGTAGCAGCAGCCTCAACAGCAACAACAGCAGCAGCCTCAGTAGTAGCAATAGCAACAACATCAGTAGCAAGAGCTGCCTTAGCAGCACCAGTCGCAGAAGCAGCAGCAGCCGCCGTGGGGTCCCCATCACCGTGGTGGCCCAAGCGGCGCAGGTGGTGGTGGTCGTGGTGGTGCCCCGCGCAGCTCGATGTCCGGTGGTGGCTCCAATGTGACCACCTGCCAGTACCAGCTTCAGACCGGCCCCCGCTACGGCACCGTCTGCGACCGTCTAGGTCACACTGCCGCCCGCTGCTACCACCGCCTTGACGACCTCTACCGCCTCCGCTTTGGTCCCACCTCTCACCCTCCTGACTGGTACGCCCTGGTCCGCCGCTGTGTGCTTGTCTTTGAGCTTGACATGGATCAGATTAGGACTGCTATGTACTGTATGTCATGCATGTTGATGACTCTAGTGTGACCGGATCTTATTATCATGTGTTGCCTAGTATAGGTGTGCCTCCTGTGTGTAGTCTGGGTTCCCCTGCTGCTTGACGCGTAGGACCACCTGCCCTGTTTAGCCTCTTCTCCATGCTAGCTCCTCCGCCTGCGGCCACTACTGCCGCGCTCTCGTTCACACTAGACTCTGGTGCGTTCGTCTTCTTCTTTCGCGACCACACTGCGCTCACGTCGCTTGCCGCCCCTGCTGCTGTAGCGCTCACTAACCCCTCCTCAGGTCCGGTTGTTGCCCGTAACTCTATCCTTCCCTGTTTGATGGTTCCCTTGGGCTCTCTTATAGGCTTGCATATCCCATTGTTCTCCAGTAACCTAGTTGGTGTCGGTTGTCTTCAGAACCTTGGCGTCACCACTACGTTTTGTGGTCACGAGCAGTGCGCAGTCAGTACCGAGGCCGCCACTGGCGTCCCTCTTACCACGTTCCCACGGGACCCCCTGTCTGGCATGTTCATGCTGGACACCTCGTAACCCCCGGTCAGAGCGTCCCCCCAGGTCGCCGAGTCCTCCCAGGTAGCTGCAACCTGCTTGTGTTAGTCGCTCACCCACCCTTCACTACTGTTGCACCACCACCTAGGTCACCCCGCACTCCCGTGTCTATGTCACATGTCCCGTCACGGGCTTGTCTTTGGTCTCCCTGTGTCGCTCCCTACCCTCCCTCCCTCGCGTGCACCGCCGTACACACCTTGCGTCGAGGGCCGACTGCGCCGTGCTCCTCACTCCTCCTCACTCCCCCTTACCATTGCGCCACTCCAGACGCTGCACCTGGACATCTGGGGCCCAGCCCCTGTCCCTGGGTCGCATTGAGAGGGCAACTTTCTGGTGCTCGTCAACGACTACATGCGCTACACCATAGTGTTTCCCTTGGAGTAGAAGAACGACGCGCTTGACGTTCTTATCTCATGGGTCGTAGCTTTGCAGGTCCACTGCGGCCTCCCTATGCTACGTCTCCACTCCGATCGTGGTGGCGAGTTTGCTTCTGGTCAGCTTGGCCAGTTCTGTCGTGTAGACGGCATCACCCAGTCGTACACCCTGCCGGACTCCCTGCAGCAGGATGGGGTCACTGAGCGACGCATCGGTTTGGTGATGGACGTGGCTCGTACCTCCATGATCCATGCCAATGCACCCCATTTTCTGTGGCCGTTCGCTGTTCACTACGCCACTCACTAACTTAACCAAAGGCCACACTCCTAGCGGCCGCAGGTTTTGCCGACCCTTCTCTGGACCGGGTTCCTTGGTGACGCATCTGCATTCCATGTCTCGGGCTGCCTTGCTCACATTCGTGCCTCTGGCATGGACAAGCTCACTGCAGGCACCGTCCCTTGTGTCTTCCTTCGTTTCCCCCTAGACGCGTCTGGTTGGCACATTTACCATACGCCGTCTCACCACTTCTTTCAATCTCGTGATGTCACTTTTGACGAGTCTGTCTTCTTCTACACCTGCTTCCCCCACCGAGGACTCCCGGTTGCCCCGCCCCTGTGCCTAGTCCCCACTCCCTCGGTAGCCCCTACTCCTCTTCCTCCCCATCCTGCCCCGTCCGGTGTGTCTCACGTCACTCCTCCTGGTGGAGGAGTTGGCTGACTCCGGGGCCCCCGCGGCTTCAGTTTCGTCACCTTTTTCCGCCCCGGCGTCTCCTCCTCCGCCGTCGCCACCGTAGCAGCATCAGTAGTCACCGCCATCGCAGCCGTCGCAGCAGCTGCTGTCGATGCCACCACAGCCGCAGCCGTCGCAGGGGTCCATGAGCTCTGGGGGTGCGGGCGTTGGGGAGGGTGCTAGTTCTGGGGTTACAGTCGTGGCTTGTCCTGGTAGTCCTGGGGGTGGCACCAGCACTATAGAGGGTTCTCGTTCTGCGGGTGCTGGTTCTTGGGGTGCTAGTCCTGGGGTTACTGTCGTGGCTTGTCCCGGCGGTCTCGGGGGTGGCACCAGTGCTGGAGAGGGTTCTCGTTCTGGGGGTGCTAGCATGGAGCGTTACGGTGGTAGCTGTGGTGCCGCTAGAGGTTCTGGTGTCGGTGTGGAGCAGCCGCAGCAGTCACCGCCGGTGTCCGCCTTTTGTCTCCTTGGTCTTCCCTCCCCTGACTGCCCGCCTGCACCTCCCCAGCCTGTCTACGGTCCAGTGTTCCCTCTGCTGGACTAGTCTCCGGCTCGTTTTCCCCCGCGTTCTCCTCCTGTATCTCCTCCTGTGTCTCCTAACCTGACGCCTCCGTCCCACTTCTGGTCATGCCATCCCTCTCGTGCTCGTCCTGTCTATCCTGTCCAATGCTCTCACCCTATGTTGCTTCGTTCCCATGCGTCTGGTCCTCCCCTCCTCCTGTCGCCTCCTCCGTAGTCGCTGGTTGTCACTCCGCCTCCCCTCTCCGACTTCCTCCGTGCCGGTCCTCTTGTTCCTCGAGTCCTTGCCTCCCTCGTTACTCACTCGTCCGTTCCTGTCTTCAATCTTGACGGTCTTCTTACTGCCGTCACTGACTTTGCCTCTTCCCGCCACCTTGACTATGCCACAGCTCTGGTCTCTGAACCTGCCCGTCCTCCGTCCGTCGGGGGTGCTCTTGCCCTCCGCAGTGACGTCCTAGAGGACCGCCAGTACGAGCTTGCTTTCCTGTCTGAGGTCACACCTTATCTCTGCTCTGACCTTATTTCCAGTCCCTGAGGGGGACCCAGACGCCTTTGACATCCCGACCCCTCGCGCTTACGCTGAGGCGACCTCGGGACCCTGGGCTTCTCAATGGATTGCTGCCATGGACGCGGAGATGGCATCTTGCAGATCCATCGGCACCTATGTCGACACAGTTCCCCCACCTGGGGTGAAGGTAGTCAATGGTCGGTGGCTCTTCAATGTGAAGTGCCCTCCTGGAGAGACACCTGTCTTCAAGGCACGCTACGTTGCTAGAGGCTTCAGTCAGCGCGAGAGTGTTGACTTTTTCCACAGCTTCGCCCCGACCCCGACGATGACTACTCTTTGGGCGCTACTGCACGTGGCAGCACAGCGTGACTACGAGCTGCACTCCCTCGACTTCTTGACAGCGTTTCTTTAGGGCAGTCTGCACGAGCAGATCTACCTGCGTTGCCCGCCAAGCTTCACCGGCACCTTCGCCCCTGGGACCCAGTGGCTCCTCTGGCGCCCAGTTTACGGTCTGCGGCAGGTGCCTCGCGAGTGGCACGACACGCTGCGTGCTACGCTAGCTGACTTGCAGTTCTTCCCGTCCTCTGCAGACCCTTCGCTCTTCGTTCGTTCAGGGCAGATCCCATTCTACATCCTTGTCTACGTAGATGACCTGGTCTTCGCTACTGCAGAGAGGGACGCACTGGCCTCTGTGAAGGCCGAGCTGCTATTGAGACACACCTGCACTGACCTAGGAGAGCTCCGTAGCTATCTTGGCCTGCAGATCTCCAGGGACAGAGCAGCACGCACCTTGACTCTCAGACACTCACACTTGGTGTGGCACTGGTTGGCTGCTGAGAGGATTTTGCGATATCTAGCAAGTACATCGGGCATGGGGCTAGTGCTAGGAGAACGCAGGCCAGTGGTCCTTACAGGGCACACAGACGCTTCGTGGGCAGACGACGCTGAGACCCTCAGGTCCTCCCAGGGCTACTGCTTTAGCCTTGGTGCAGATGCCATCTCGTGGAGGTCCAATCGCTCGTTGTCTGTTGCCCAGTCTAGCTGTGAGGCTGAGATCTACGCCGGTGCCATGGCAGCACAAGAGCTCCGCTGGCTGACTTTCTTGCTCACAAAATTGGGTGTGCGGCCTAGCTCTGCCCCGGTCCTGTACGCTGACAACAGGGCCATGATCCTCCTGTGTCAAGAGCCCCGACTGGAGAGCAGAGTGAAGCACATCCAGCTACGGTACTTCCTCTTGCGTGAGCTACAGCAGTGCCGCCAGGCCCGCGTAGTACACTTGGCCTCTGGTGCCAACATAGCTGATATATTTACTAAGGCTCTTGCGCCTAAAGATCATCAGCGGCACTGCTTGCAGCTTGGTCTAGTTCCTGTTGACTCTCACTTGCTAGGACCTTGATTGTGTACTCCTCTATATTTATACCTTCCAGACTGGCCTTGTGGCTGCTCTTCCAGTGGTCGGACTAGTAGTTCCACCCTGGTTTGCTCTTGTCTTGTTTGTACTCTTGCTGGCTGGACTTCGGACCCTTGCCTCAGAGGTTGGACTAGTAATGCCACCGTGAGCTGCGTGTCTCTTGCCCTGCACCTCCCCTCATCTAGCCTAGGGGGTGTGTCAAACATATATTTTGTATGTTACTATAGGCGATATAGGTGCGTACTCTTAGAGAGTACACCCCTTAGCACTAAACCACGTGTATCCCTCATTCTAATACACTTTACTACTTTGATAGATCTTGCTTCATCATTCCAGTGTACCACATTATGTTATTTTGAACCTCAGTATTCAATTCCACGTTACTCTGGTTAAACACACATAGCAATACTTTCTTATGAATAAAAAACAAATGTGCCACACTATCAGCTTGTGCCAACTAAGAGCGAACACTGCAGCGCGTGGGCGGAAAGGATGGCAGTCGGGGAGGTGGCGCGAGCAGTTCTGAGCAGGACCTTACCAAGGGCTCCGACCCCAAGGTGAGGAGGACACAGACCGCGGAAGGGGTGGGGGTGTGGTCGAAGGGAGAACGGGTGTGAGGGCAAGGACACAAATAAGAAATTACAATATGGTTGTTACATCTAAAGCCCCTATCTCATAATTACTAGAGGTTTACACTTGGTTGAGACAGACAGGCACTGATTCATAATTTTACGAAAACGAAACGCATGTGGCGAGGCCTTTTTGTTTCGACAAAAAACGCCAAACCAAGAAACAGGTTAGGGAAAGTTTGGGGCGTGTTAGGTTTAGCACATCAGACGGTGCAAACTCCATTTTTTTCGCCCAACAATTTTGTACTTCGTTTATAGCCGTCGGTTCGAGCGCTCATTCAATCGACCATCAGGTTACAGGCTGTTAATGATCTTACGGTGCAGCAGCACCG